GTCCAAGCAAAGATTCATTTATCCCAGAGCTTTTGCCTGCAGACTGGATATTAGTCTCAGTTACCTAATGAGCCTCAGGTTTTAGCCCTCAGCTAAATGAAAAATCTCACAGGTGGACAGGGTTATATTTCCAGAGGGTGGAGTAATTGCTTTCCCTGGGCTAAAGTTGCTTTGAGAAGAAAGTGGTTTCTGCAGTGTGCGTTATCAGCTCAGTGCAGGAATTCAGGCCTCAGCTTTCACAACTCAATCCCCAGAGCCATGACACCCAACCCTGAGAGCCAGGTCCAAGGCTCAAAGCCTCCATAATCTTGTCTCTGCCTACTGGTAATCTCTGGCTATTAGTGAGCCTCAGGTTGCCCTTCTCTGGGCTGGGTGGTGGTATATTCCTGAGGGAGGGGCAGTTGCTTCTGCCCCAGGCTAAAGCTACTCTGATGGAAAGGGGCTTCTTGAGGAAGATGGCTACTGCCATGTGGGTTAATGACTCAGCACAGAGTCCCTGATGGCCTCCTTCCCAGCTCCCTCCCCAGTGCCATGAACCCCCAACTCTCCTCACACATCTCCAGTCTGCCCTCCCTCTGGTGTGATTTAGTGCCCTGGCCCTTCAGGGAAGTGCTGGTGCTCCCAGCGCCTCTCCCTGTCAGATGAAACCTCTGCTCTGGGGATTTTCTCAGCCAGGTGTTATGTGGGCACCTTTCCCTGTTCTGCCACTCTGTGCTGGGGAACAAGCTTGGGGTTTAAACCCCTGACTTCTCAGACGAAGCTTTTCACAGCTGCTGCCCATGGGCACCCAGCCAGCACTCTCATGCCTCTGCACCTCCTCCCAGTCTCAACTTGGGGTCCTCTTTATGTCCCCGGCTCTAAGAGTTCTCTCCAGCTGCTCTTCGGTTGGTTTCTCCAGATGACTTGCCTTTATTTTCATTGAAATTCCAATTTGGTCCTGGGAGACGGTCTGTGTAGCTTCCATTCACTCCACCGCCATTTTCCCTCTCCCAACTTTAAAACTTTTAGAAGAGCCCTGGCCATTTTTTCTCAGTGGCTAGAGCTTTGGCCCATGGACCAATGAGTCTTGGGTTCTATTCCAGTCAAGGGCATGTACCTCGGCTGCGGTTTGTCCCTGGCCCTGGTCGGGTTGTGTGGGAGGCAGCCAGTCAATGTGTTTCTCTCACATCAATGTTTCTCTCTCTCTCTCCCTCCCACTCTATCTGATGGTAAATAGAAAAATATCCTTGGGTGAGGATTAAAAACAAATAAATAAATACAAATAAAACTTTAGAAGAATACATAGGAGAACCTCTTTAGGATATCAGGGAGCAAATGAAAAGCTGAGACATGCAAAGTACAAATCAAGTGAGAAAAGACAGAAAAATCAACTGCACTAAAATGGAAGACTTCCGCCTAGCCAGTGTGGCTCAGTGGTTGAGCTTCGACCCATGCATCAAGAGGTCACTGGTTCAATTCCCTGTCAGGGCACATGCCCAGGTTGTGGGCCAAATCCCCAGTGGGGGGCATGCAGGGGGTGGCCAGTCGATGTTTTCTTTCTCTTTCTGTTTCTTCTTCCTCTCCCTTCCTCTCTCTCTAAAATCAATAAAGAAAAAAATAAAATAAAATGCAACACTTCCCAATAAAGGCACCATACGTGTGAAGACCAGGAGAGCATTTGAAATATAGACCAATAAAACATCAGTATCCAGAATATTCAAAGAACTCCTACATGTTGATTAGAAAGGCAAAACATTTCTGTAGAAAAATGGGCAAAAGTTATGAAGGGGCATCTTATGGAAGAAAACACTTGAATGGATCATACCTATATGAAAATAATGCTCAACCTCATTACATGTCAGAGATTTATAAATTAAAATCAATTTAGTTACTAATTAATTGAAGTATGACTGTTGTCACTACCTGCGGTTGGTGTGAATCACAACCATCAATTTAGAAAACAACCGTGACTCTCTAGGGAAGATGAATGGTTCCAGCCCTCCATCCTGCCATTTGCCCAGTAATGGAACCAGTGATGTGTTGTGCTTCTGCAGCTTGGTGGTTCGTTCTGTCGTTCTTCTCACCTTTCCCTTTGTCTGGAGCTGCTCATCATATTTGGTGAAGATGATCATACTGCCACTCTTCTCGTCGGTCTTTCCTGCTGCAGTTACTATCACATCTCCTTCAGCCCTTTTCTCTCTTCTCACTGAGAGCGGCTCTCTTGATACTAATCTTGAACACTTTCCGAGTCCCAGTACAAAACTGATTTGCTGTGATGACTAGCCACTGAATTTGAAAGAAACCTATAAGTGTTAATGACACATCAGAGTGTCCCATGCACCGGACACTACTCGAAGCATAGTACTAACTCCTGCATCAGCTCATTAGCTTTTTAAAAATTCACTTACATTAGCTCTTGTAACTCTCACAACATCTCTGTGAGCTCGGTGACCATTATCCGCACTTACAAATGAAGGAACAGAGGTGCGGGGAGGGGCGGGGGGTGGGGGCAGAGGCCGTGGTTCCCACACCCTGGGTTGGGGATGAGACGACGGAATAGACACACAAACCACTTCCACTGGCTGAATTCTCCAGAAAAACATTTTTCTGGCTCACACAGCACAGTTTGTTTATTTCCAATTCTTTCCTTCCTCATATTAAACAATGATTTCCTATTGTCTGCATTGTTGTGAAGTACACAGAGCATTTATAGAATTCAGTACCACTTCCAGATTTAGAGTACTTTTCTTTTTTTAAATTTTTTTTTAGTTTTCAGTTACAGTTGGCATTCAGTATTCAGTCTCAAGGTGGCTTCTTCATATCCTGAGCTATAGGAGTTCTGGCCATCTGGTCTTCTGGTGGTTCTCAAGGGTGGTGGGTCTGTAATTTAGTTTTAATTTCGAGGTGGTCGTGGGAGGAGGTGAGCAGTGTTTGCCACTTGTCATCTTGACTGGAAGTCTCTAGAGTGCTTTTCATTTGCCAAGGTAATGTTTTTCTCATTCCTGGCCCACTTAAGCTGGTTTTCAAAGAGTGGTACTGTTTATTGCCGGTGGTATTCCACAATAAAAGATAGGAATAGAGTTTTATTTTTATTATGTTATTTTATTTTATTCTTTGGTAATTCAAGACCTCTCTCAGAAGAGAATACATAGCTCCCTTAACACTTTGTCCTTCCCAGCCTGGAAAGTGGCCAAATATCTACATTGACATGCCCATTGAATAATACATTCCGTGTAAGAGAATGATGCCAGTCGCAAGAGGATTTGATCAAAGGGCGTTTGAACTCTACACATGATACAAAATATATCCTTTATTAAGAAATGTACATAACTTGTTAAATAAGAGACTAGGAAAGGTTTTGTGCTCAAATCAGCTTCTACTCCACGTTTTGGTGAATTGGTCATCCTGGCAGTACTGGCTGCAGTAGGCTAACCATGAGCTAACCCCACAGGAAGTGTTTCTAGTGGCTGAGTCCCCCAGCCCATCTGACATATCCCACAAACCTCCAGAGGTGGTCTGCGTTCCGGGACTGGACTGATGGGCCTGGTCTATGATCAGAAGCGAAGACGCTGTTTTACAGAGCACAGTGCCCCTCTTCCTGCCGAGGTTGGGATCCAACATGCTTGCTTTTGTCTGCCATCCAGCACAGTGCAGGTCCTTTGGTGGAGTCCGAGGGCATTTCTTCTGTTTGCGCAGATCAAATGCATTCTGCCGGTGCTGTTCAGAGCTACTGAAATCTTTGCACGCTGCGTTGAGAGAGGTGTAGGGCACAGGTTCTGTTAGGAAAGGGCACGTTCTTTATTTTTCCTTTCTAAACACTTCTTTAGAAGCAAAACAAATTCCACCCCTTTTAATCAGACTCTCAGGTCTTCAGAAGGAGGAACGTGGCTGAATCTTTTACTCGACGTGATTGATAAAACCCCTGGATGGTTTAAACACTGAAGCCATTTTAATAATGTTATCATTTTCGTGCAGGCTCTAGCTAAAGAGAATGTTAGGACTATCCTTTTAAAATGATGAAAACAAAATAAAATATTACTCTTTCACTAAAATTCTGTATATTTCTTCCAGCCGTCAGGGCTGCTTTTCAACATTGGACGGTCACGTTCCTGTGACTGGATGGTTTTATACCGAACAGCAGTAATGCTAGTACTTCAAGGCTGTCTGTTGAGTCTAGTAAATCAGGCCTTGCAGCTGTACTCAGAGGTGTGTTTAGAAGGCTTATCCTTTAACAGGAAATAGATGGTGGTGTCCCTGTCTGTAGGTTTGGAAAGATCTAGACGAGGAGTGTGGGCCACGACGACACTGTGCCACAGCTTCAGAGCGTGGGAGCAGTTCATCATAAACACGCCGGCTTGTGGGCAGCGAGTCTGTTTCCGTATTGAATAGTATATCAAAGTGACCCATGAGCGTCCTCTGCCTCTGAAATGAACTAGGCTGTGACGCAGGGTCCTCTTTGTTTGGTGAGGCCTCAGCTTTTGGAGCGACAGCGTCCTGAGTGTCAAGGGGATTCTCTGTGTCCAGGTTTCCCACCCGCCTCCCTTCCCCCCAAGCTCCTATTCTGAGGGTGGAATTAGCCGGGTCCCGGGAGGCCGGGCCTAGCGGCGATGGGTCAGCTCTTATTCTCACCCACCCACCCACCCGGGTTGCCAGGAAGGGGTTGCTCATGCTCTGTGAGTTACCAGATACGTGCGTATTATCTGCATATACAGTTCCACATCCACATGAGGACATGGGGTGTGTGGGGGTGGGGTGGTGGTTTGTGTACACACGTGTAAAACCTTTGGCCTGAGGCTGCTCCTGACTGTTGGGAGCACCCTGCTCAGGGGGCTTAAATGACAGACTTTATGTGGTAACTGAAAGGAGCCCTTTCCCACATCTGGTCCCAGAAAATTGCTTTTCAAGGCTGCTCGCTGAGAGTCAGGTGGAGTTCAGAAGCAGGATTGATTGGCAGTGGCGAATGGCAAGGGTCCATCCATTTTTCATGAAGTTATAATTAACCTACTGTCTGCCTCCCACAGGTCCAGCCTTTGGGAACGAAGACCAGCCAGCCCTGAAGGCCACTCTGCCTTCCAAAGACGCACCCAAGGGAGCCGGCCGGGTGGCCCCTCCGGCATCCTCCGGTGTCACCACACCCCGCAGGAGTTTGCTTCCGGCGCCGAAATCCACATCCACGCCCACTGGTAAGCCTTTCTGTCCTGCAGTATCCTTTCTGCATTACCTGACTTTGGAAAGTCCCTGTGTACATCAGTTGTTCAGATGGGATGACGCATTTCAATGGCATTTAAAGTTAATAATATTGATCATAATACCATTTTTAAGACACATTCATGTTTTATATGTTTAAATGATCACAGCTGCCTCTCACTGTTTTGATTATATAAAAACAAGAATCAAGCTATTTTAGGCCAGATTGGCATTTGTCTCGGAGAAGCGGGTGCTGATGAAGCCGTTGGAAGGGCTGTCGGGACAAGCTCCAGGCGGTGCCTCCGAGTGAGTCCCAGAGCCCCCAGGGGACCTCTGCCTCTCGGGGGACCTGAGCACACTGTCCCGCTGCTGGCCCCAGGCTGGTGCCGCCAAAGCTGGGATCCTGGGCTCAACAGCTACCGCAGGTCTGACCCAGAGCCACGCTTTGCCTGGTCCACAGCAGCGAACAGATGACAGTGCCCTGCCCCTTTCTACCCGTGAAGCTAGTGACCAGATGCAGGAAACTCAGCTGAGACAACCATGGGGCAAGTGAGGGTGCTTGTCAGCGAAAACTGCTGGAGCAACCCCGGTGAGGCCCCGCCCGATGGCTGCTCCGGAACCTCACACTGCAGTTCCCAGCTCCCCACCTTCCGCACCACAGGAGGGCGCACTAACGGGGGGGGGGGGGGGGGGGGCACACGGCAGAGGGATGGGCATTGGGCCCTGGTCCACTGTAGGACAAGACCGGTGAAGGTGTGGCCACAATTCCTTTTGTTTCCCTAAAATAAGGAGACCATGCACGCTGCATAAAAACCCAGGGACAGTGGCGTTGAGTTATCAGGTGTGAGCTGGGAAAACAGGCAGAAAGCTCCTTTTCAAGATTTCGGGACGTCCTCTCTGTCTAACTCCATACCTAAGGCTTCCTTGTATTTCGAAACAATTGTTAAAAGAAATTCTGTTACTGAATTTTAGCACGTATGCCAGTGGTGGAATTTCTAATTTCAATGAAATCTAGTTTCTAAAACAAAGTCAGCTTCCACATGGACTTATTTGTTTGTCATCAAGCTAATTGAAAAGTAGAAGGTAGGCCTGCAGGGTACAGTTCAATCCCAAATAATTGGATTTCCCGGGACTGTGAGGTGTTCGGTTTCTTTCAGTTACTCGGGTCATGCCAGCCCTCGTTTTAACCCCTGCTGTTGGAAACGTTTCTGACCTGTGGCGCTTTGCTTCCTTCCCGTGGTGACTCCACCTAGTGAGGGGGAACTCTTGCACCTTTGGGTCATTTGCTCATTGCTGTCACCTCGGACTGTAGATGCCACATGTGCCCACGGGAGGACATGCCTGGGAGTCCCGGGGCTGCCTCTGTGAGCTAGAGTCCTGATGTGAGCTTTTCCTGTGAGGGGCTGTTTTCCGGTTCATTTGTTCCCCGAACATCTCGGTGCTCACTTTAAGCTACAGGTGACTGGGATTGGAGGATGATTAGAACCATCCTTACCCTGCAGGGGCTCACGATAAAGCGAACAGATTTGTACACGAATAATTAGAGCAAGATATTTGTAAACTTACCCGCTGGGTTCCAGTTCATTTTAGTAGACCACGGAGTCATAGTAAGATCTATTGAGACACAAGTTACCCGAAAAAGCTTAAATTAACAACAAATAGGTTTTGCCCTGGCTGGTGTGGCTCAGTGATTAGAGTGTCGGCCCACACACTGAAGGGTGGTGGGTTTGATTCTCACTCGAGGGCACGTGCCGACATGTCCGGCTCGATCCCTGGCCCGGTCGGGCATGTGCGGGAGGCAGCCAGCTCCACCTCAACGGGAAAAATATCCTCAGGTGAGGATTAACAGCAACAAAAAGGTTTTGTTGATTATTTGCTTAACTCCTTTCTGTTTTTATTTATTTAATTATTTCCTGATTTACTTTATGTTGAATGACTGTCTAATCAGAAAAGATCCAAGGTAGCAAGCAGTAAAGGGCCCAGAATAACAGGTACAAGGATAAAAATCCAAGTAACACAGAAGAGAAAATCCTGACGACACTAGGCTCGGAGCCCCCTGGCTATGAGGGCGAAACAGGAACGAGTCGGCGGAGCGTGGCACCTGGGCAGAAGGGACACCTTCGTTTCCCAGCACAGATTTCTAAGGTTTTAAACAAGTGACTTTAACACAATTATGTTGAACAGCATAATACACAATAACTTGAACTGTATGTCTTTACAACACCTTTTCTGATCATGAAGTAATTAGAAGTTTGTTTAAAATGTTGGAACAGGGAAAGCCTTTCCCAACATGACATGAAACCTGGAAATATTGTTTTAAACGATAGATTCACCTACACACAGATTTAAAATTTTTACGAAAGACATAAAATACATCACAGAGGTAAGGATGCTAAACCGATAGAAAATGCTGCCACAAAGAGTTAATGTGCATGCAACCGAAAGAACTCCTGAAAACAGTAGGAAAAAATACAATTTAATTTGAAAAATGGGTAAAAGATATGCCTGGGTGATTCACACAGTCGAAGGGCACAGTGGTCGATGGCCGTAAACATCTGAGGATCCTGTGTACTATTCCACATGCTTAGAGATTTGTGTACTCTATCCCGTTTAATTCCGGAGGAGAGCAGGATTATGAGGAATTAAGTAAACTGTCCCACTGATGGTCATACAGCTTCTGTGTACCAAAGCAGCATCCATCTCGGTCTATCTGACTTGAAAGCTATTTACCTAACCTCTGCCAGCCCTACGCTGCGTATGTGTTCTTCCTCAGCCGCAGGGCAATTAATTACATTTTATGAAACCACCACCAGTGGAAATACTTCTTAGAGATGGAGTTCTTTCTAAGACAATGCTGGGGACTCACATGGTTGCCCAGATCGCGTACAGTAATTCTCTAGTCTGTCCACGTTCCTCCGTCCCCGGGGTTTCAGACACAGGTCGAGAGCTGTGCTGCAGCATGTTGAGAGGTGTACGGTGTGGCCACTCCCGTGGTACTGCCTTCCTGCAAATGAGTCGTGACGACGGCCTCGTTGACACAGTGTGATGACCATGGACAGTTGTGGGTTTAGTGTCAATGGTAAAAAGGCATATGGAACGTCCTCCTCGTGGCTGGGTAAAGGGGAGGTTCCCAGGAAGGCAGCAGCAGCCGTGGCCTGCCAAGCTCCACGTTGTCGTGCAGAGGTCTGCCTCGCTCCACGTGCGCGGGCTTCCCGGAGCGGGTCCGCGCGCTTCTGCTGAAGAGTCCGCTTTGCCTCGCGCTGGTTTGTAGTTGTGACAAATGGGAAACTATTTTCAGAGGAAAATATCCATCTGAAGGTAGATGACTTCTTGTCAATATGCCCTCTGATTTTGTCAAGCTGACAAGGTGGATTATAAAAAACAAAATCCCTTTATTCAGCCTAAGGTATAGGGGGATTTCCTGGGGTTATATAGAAAATGAACAGCTGGCGCCTTATTGCCTGGGCTCCTCCCCGCGCGGGGGGTGAGTCCCTGGGGAGAGGGAGGCCTCATGCTGCAGACTCCGGAACGCCGCGGGGTCATCAGAATCAGTTTTACGACCTTAAAAGCTTGTCTTTATTGCTGCATTAAATTCCACAGATTTTGGTATTTGGGGACGTATTATAATTTAGAAATGCAGGTAACCGCCCACGTCCTCAGCGTGTGCTCGCGGAGCTCTCCGAGGCACGTGCGCCCGAGGGCTGCTCCGCCCACTCCGCCTGCTCCAGTCTGCCGGCGCAGCGCCCTCTCTGGCCACATCGAGATGAAGGAACGCAGGAAGAGCTTGCTGACCTGCAGTACTCTGCTTTAGGGAAGACGGGGCAGGGGGAGGGATCAGGGAAGCTGCACTGGCATCGGGTCTGGATGATTGGGGCGGTTCTCACTGGCGTGGGGTGTGCGCCCCTGTCACATTCAGAGCTCAACCATGTGCTGTTTTCCGGGCAACGAGAGCCGTGGCACCTCCTGGTGCAGAGCCCACGGTGGCACCTGCAGGAGGCAAGTTCAAAGCAGCCAGGCTGCTCTGGGCCTGGGTGTTGCTGCGTGGCGTCCACGTGTTCTCCCTGAGGCCGTCCCAACTGCAGCCACAGCTTCCACGTATGTCATTGTGAAGCCGACAGCGGAAGCAGTAGTTGGTTGGGATAGAGGAGGTAACAGGAGGTAAATGTGTTAGGAAGAATCTGTGGGGGAGAAGAATTAAAACAGTCACTTTGAGACCCATTCCTTTGCATGAGGTCACAGAGACAGAGAAATAGAGCGGGATCGGCGTGTGGGATGTGTGGTAAGAGGACCATGCATTTCGTCACTCAGAGTCACGTCCTGTTTGCTGTCCCATCTGGCCAGCGGTGGGAGCTTCCTAACCCCTCGCAGCAGGCCGGGGAGCCCTGGGAATCATGAGCGGTGGTACCCAAGTCCACTCCCGGTCCTCCCGGGCAGGGGTCAGGCGGATCTGGATGGGCACCCACTCACTCGGCACGTGTTTCCTGCGCACCTCCAGGGTGAGTGCTGTGAGGAACACCCGGCAAATCGCTCCAAGTGCAGCCGATGGTAGAACGGAGCGAGGAACACAGAAGTCGTAGCCGTATCTTCAGTTATTCAATGACAGTTGTGCTAAGAGCTGTGAAAGGGAAATGCGTGTACAGTAAAGGCCTATTGTGTCGACCAAGCGTAGTGTGCAGAGCACACAGCAGTCACCTGAAGGGTCGGTAGAAGTTTCAGAGAGCAGTGATGGGCACAGTATCCCGTGCGGGTGAGCAGCACGAATCCTCTAGGTGAACAGCACAGGTTCCCAAGGCTCCTCCCTTGCAGTCTTGGACTGGGGCTGCTGACAGTCACATGCCTTGCCAGTTTGAATATGCCCCCCTTCCCCCTTCCAAGCCTTGTAGGGACGGACTTGCAAGCAGTCAAGTGGGCAAAGGACAGACAGCATGGAATAAATCGCACAGAATCAGCTGCTTCCTCAGTCTGACTGGCCAGTCCGCCCGAGTTACGATCCTTA